CCTCGTGCCGCCCCCTACCCCGGTGGCCACAGGCACAGCTCAGCGAGCCACTGCCTCTCCCTCTGCAGCTGAGGCCCAAACCAGCCGATTACACCCTGGAGAAGAAATATCACCTCGGCATCTCCCTCTTCGAGCGGATGATCAACAACGAGATCCCCCACGTGCAGCTGCTGTGCCAGGTGAGCCAGAATTCCCCCCCCACACCGGCGCGGGCACTGCCCCCCCCGCCCCGGGGGGGCTGCTGCCGTGGCTGGAGCTCTCCCCTGTGTCCCTGGCAGCACCGCATGCGCCCCGAGATCTCCCAGCTGCTCGTCCCCTTCTTCTACAAGGCGCTGAGGGACCACCCGGCTGTCGAGAGCTACAGAAGGATCAAGGTGGGTGGGGGGGAAGAAGCAGGGTAGGGCGGCTGTGAGGATGGGGACGGTCCCCTGACCGTGTGTCCCCCCGGCTCCGGGCAGGGCGTGGAGAGCAGCGTCTTCTTCATCCAGCACGTGGGGGCTGAGAACCTCGGCAGCCACGTCGGCAGCTACAGCAACCGCTCAGAGGCCTCCTTCCTGGTGCACCTCTGCAAGTACCTGCTGGAGCAGGGCTACGAGAAGGAGCAGCTCACCATCCTGACGCCCTACAGCAGCCAAGTGGCCACCATCCGTCAGCTGCTGGCCAGGAGGGACATGGCCAAAGTGGCCACCTGCACCGTGGATGACTTCCAAGGGGAGGAGAACGACATCGTCCTGCTCTCACTGGTGCGGAGCAACCCAGAGGGGCGCATCGGTTTCCTCAAGGACCGGCACCGCCTCTGCGTGGCTTTTTCCCGCGCCAGGAAAGGCTTCTACTGCGTCGGCAACCTGGAGGCCATCGCGCAAGGCGCCGGCGGGCAGCTCTGGGCCGAGATCCTGGTGGCCCTGAAGAGCAAGGGCCTGGTGGGGGACGGGCTGGTGCTGACCTGCCAAAACCACCCCGAGGTGAAGGTGACGGTACGGGACGCCTCCGACTTCAGGCGAAGCCCCGAGGGCGGCTGCACGCAGCGGTGCCAGACGCCGCTGCCCTGCGGCCACCCCTGCCCGCGCCACTGCCACCCGCGCGACCGCGAGCACCAGCATGTTCGCTGCTGCCTGCCCTGCGCCCGGCCGCCCTGCCCGCACGGCCACCCCTGCCCCAAGCTCTGCTGGGAGAAGTGCGGCCCTTGCCTCAGGAAGGTGGAGAAGGTCCTGCCCCGCTGCGGTCACCGGCAGCGCCTGCCGTGCAACGTGCCGGTGGAGCGCTGGTGCTGCCAGGAGCGCTGCCTGCGGCCCTTTGCCTGCGGCCACCTCTGCCCGCGGCTCTGCGGGGAGGACTGCAGCCGGGACAAGTGTGGTTTGAGAAGCTGCCGTGGGGACAACTGTGATGGGGACGACCCCAACGGGGACCACCATGGTGGGGACAGCCACGATGGGGACAACCACAGTGAGGACGACCACAGCGGGGATGACCACAGCAAGGATGACCACGGCGAGGGCGACCACAGCGAGGATGACCACAGCGAGGGCGACCAAGGCGGGGACAGTGGTGGTGAGGTGGCGGAGGGGTTCCCGCCGCGGTACGAGCACCCAGCAGGAGCTGCCGGCAGCCAGCAGGTTCGCAGCCGGCAGAGCCTGGCATGAGGCTGCCTGCCCGTGTGAGGCCCGACCCGTCCGTGCTGGCTGCTGCTGCTCTGTGGTCACTTTTCAGCTGGCGGGGGGTCCCGTGGTGCTGCTGGGGGGGTCTCCTCCAGGCTGGAGCTGGGGGCTGCGACACTGCCGGCATGGTGCTGCCCCCAGTCCTGCTCCCCAGCTGTGCTGGGAGCCGCAGCCTCCCCAGCACCTCCCCAGCTCCATCCTGGCACCTCCACAAGACCCAGTTGATCCCAGACGAGCCCATCGTGATTCCCAGCTCGATCCCAACAGTGACGCCAAACTCAGCCACGGCCCACGGCAACCCCCAGCTCGATCCCGGCTGCGCCCACAGCAAGTCCCAGCTCAATCCCAGCTGCAACCTCGGCGATTCCCAACAAGATCCCGACTGAACCCGCAGCAATTTCCAACTTGATCCTGGCCGGAGCCGCGGTGACACCTGAAACAACCCCCCATGCACCCCGATGCCTTCGGCAGCCACCGCTGGCCTCGGGCTCTTCCCTTTGCCGGAGCCGAGGTGCCAGCGTGGTGCCACATGGGTGACACTGCGGGGAGGGACAAAACCTTCATTCCCCACCCTCAAGAGATTCGGCCTTGCAGGGGTTCAGCCACAACCAGGGACCTCGCTACCCCCCATATCCCGCTTTAACCCCCACCTTGCTTCACTCAGTAATTAAAGCCTGACCAAAGCCACCCTCGTTTCTGCCACCCGTCCATCCTCGCCCCTCAGCGTCCGCGCTTCTCCCAGCGGTTGCCTTTGGTTGGCACCACCAAGCCCGGTCCCCCCCCAGGGAGCAGGTGGTCCCAAGGGTGCCAGCAGCTCTGGAGCCAACCAGGTGCCACCCCCAGGGAGGAGAAGACTTTCTCCGTGGGGATGGGCAGCTCCCATGATGGGACTGCTTTCTGGGGGGGGCAGATGCCCCCAGGAGAAGCCCCCCACCCCCCCAACCTGTGGAACCAGCAGCGTGGCGGCGAGGTCCTGCCCCACTCCCGCCTCCCACCCGTGTCTGGAGGAGCCGTGGAACTGCCAGAGGCTCCAGTTCCCCCTCCTGCACCCCTCGGCCGCGGGGACGGGCAGAGCTGCAGCCCCCGGCCCAGGACCACCGGGAGTCCCAGCATCCACCTCACCGGCTGTACCCCGGGGGCCCTGAATCCATCCCACCGCTGCGGGGGGGTTACTGCGTCCCCTTGATGGCGCCTTCTGAATGACTCCAGGAGCCACCTCGGTCCTTCCAAGTGACTCCAGGAGCCACCTCGGTCCTTCTAGACGATGCCAGGAGCTACCTTGGCTCTTCAAAATGACTTCAGAAGTCACCTTGGCTCTTCCAAATGCTGACAGGAACCGCCTCAGTCCTTCCAAATGACTCCAGGAGCCACCTCGGCCCTTCCAAGTGACTCCAGGAGCTACCTCGGCCCTTCCAAGTGACTCCAGGAGCCACCTCGGCCCTTCTAAATGACTCCAGGAGCTGCCTCGTTCCTTCCAAGTGACTCCAGGAGCCACCTCGTTCCTTCCAAGTGACTCCAGGAGCCACCTCAGTCCTTCCAAATGATTCCAGGAGCCACCTCAGTCCTTCTAAATGGCTGGAGGCCGCTGCTTTCGGGCGCGGTGTGGTGTGGCCGTGCTCCTGGGGAGGGAAAACACCGTTTCCGCTGCCATGGCCACGGTTTTCATCAGTCGGTGCCTCGTTAATGGCACTTGGGAACCAGCGTGGCGCTGTGGGTCCTGCCACCGTGGTATTTAATATTTTTATGAATAAAGGAGCACAGGGTCCCTTCATTCAGCGTCAGACGACGACTGGGTGCTGCGCCGAAGCCCCAGTATGGCTGGGGACCATTCCGGGAGGGTGGGGAAGGACCCACCGGCGGCACAGCCCACGGTGGCTAGAGGTGCCCTGGCCGGTGGGAGCTCGGCAGTGGCACGGAGCCGGGCAGGGCCAGTAGCCCCGACATCCCAGAGCCCGTCCTGGTTCTGGGGCCGCGTGGCACTGTGGCCACACCACCTCCGGCATGTTCTGGGGGGCTCCACGCACTGTATTGGCAGTAGGAAGGGCCGGCAGAGTGGCAGCGGTGGCCTGGGAGGCACCAAGAGCCCCCAGCTCCCACCCAGTGGCAGAGGGGACACCCCCATAACCCCCCGGTACCTTCCGCAGCCCTGATGTCACCCCCCGTGGGGTCCCTGAAGGAAGGGGGTGGGGGGCGAATCACAGAAAACCTTTATTGGTGTAACGATACATTGCTATGCTGTGAAGTTCAAGTTCCCTGACAGGGCTCGGGGGGTGGGGGGGC